TCTGTTTGGAAGAAGTTTATCTTGAGATGCCCATGGGAAGTGGGTTGAGTAAATAATACGCTATCAAAGTCCAAAGCTCTGAACACAGATCTGAGTTGGAGACCATTATAGGAGGCTCCTTTCCATTACTATCATTACTGAACCAAAAGACAGCATCAAAGCACTTACTCCATTCACTTCTAACCAAACATGTTAGACCCACAAAGCTTGCTTGACTGATGGTTCTTGTACACATGGGTAAATAAGATTTGGCTCCAGGTAGCAATTACTCCTAGCAAGCCTTCCTTTCATCTCATGAGACACAATTTAAATGTAAACATCAGTCTACATGCACCCGCACACACACACACACACACACACACACACAGATAGTTCACTTTTTTTCCCAAAGGGAAGAGACCTTTCTCTTTCTTTGTACCTTGTTGAAGGTACATATCTTTTTTAGGTTTCAAGCCTTTTCTTCCGTATCTGCAGGAAACAAATGTGATTCTATCAGTGCTGTGTAGAGTGAAAGTATCTCCAGTTTTGAAAGTCTTTCTAACATTTAATGGGCTAAAATAGATTGTTTTGCAATCAATGTTCTTGATCTGTGCACTGGATTTAAAAGTGTAAGACTACAAAGGATGGGAAGTAGGTTTTGACTTCCTTTAGGGATTTCACATTCTGCCCTAGCCCAACTGAAAACCTCCCTCATGCTCCTTGCACACAACTTGTTATGACTTGCTTTTGCCCTGCAGAGAGAATAAACATGCGTTCTGGATTCTCTGCTGGAGAAGGTGGGGTGATGAGGAATGACTGTTTCGTGGTGTTGGGTGGGCATGGGGTGCGGGAAGTGTAGCTGTGCTTGATCGTGTTCTCATTCCAGGTAATATCAGTCTCTAGCTGTTTTCCCCACTAACTCTGTGACCTTGAATATAGTATAAGACACAGTGTGTATTTAAGAGCTGAACTAGAGAATTAAATAGGTTTTATATAATTTGCCCTAAATCATAATTGAATATTTCCATGACTCATTTGCAAAGATCTTCAGTTTGTTTAATTTTTAAAAATAATAATAAAACAAGTTCTTAAGCCAGAAAGAGGTTTATCAAAGAAAGAGGTATAAAATTGTATTCAAAAATAATAATTATTTGCTATTCTAAGCAATTATTCTGGATTTTGCATCATTTTCTTCAAATGTTAATTATCTTCTCCCATTTATCCCTTTCTTCCTTTTGCTTGCTCAGTACCAATTAAAATATTTGCTTGCTGAGTACTAATTAAAATATTGAAAAGACTTGGCATTTTTTAATGTGACAGCTATAAATCATCATACTGCTTGAAGGATCTGTGATTCATTTATATTAAAGTTTTGAATAAAGAATTTAAATGTATTCAAATTTTAGGCTATTCTTTCTTTTTTTTTTTTTTTTTTTTTTTTTGGTGTTACCAGGGGTCAAATTCACGACCTTGTGCTTGCCAGGCAGGCGCTTATGCCACTGAGCTATATCCCCAACCCCATATTCAAATTTTAGAGCCTTCATTAACATTTTCAGTTCTCGTTCATCTTCACTGAGAAGATATAAAGATGATAATATCTTGCCATTTCTTTTTTATCCATGGCACAAGAAACAATATAGTTAAACTTTGGGGTTTTCTGTTTGTTTGTTTGCTTTGTCATAGAAACTATTGAATTGTGTTTTAATATCATAATAGTTAATCACCTCCAAGGTTAGCTATAATAATTCCAACTGTTTATTTGACCAATTTTTTTAGTCATCCTAAAAAAGAGGTGGAGCACAGAGAAGGAGAAAAATCATACAAATAATTTAAAACTGCTGCTAATAAAGAGCATCCTTCCTGCAACAACCATTGAGAATAGTTAATGATTCTTCAATAGGTCACTCATGTATAGCTCTATTTATTTTCTTTACAAGCCACTTTGAAGATACCGAAGTATAGTACAACAACTATTGATACCTCTTTTGTCTGTAACTCACTATTATTTGTCTATTTGTTTTCCTGAGAAACTATCTTGTAGATGACAATATGTAAAACAATAACCATTGATAATTTCCTACCACTTTGTCTGTAATTTGGTAAGCCCCCCCATTATTATGCTATCCTTCTTTTACTCTTTAAAATAAAAAAATAAAGAGCATTCTTCTTTTTAAGGAACAGTTAATTGACTTTCCTAATTCTGTTAACTGCTATAGTAAAATTGAGGGATTTAGTATAAAAACTGTTTTACCACCCTCCTACTTTGCTGGACATAATTATTAATGCGCCTTCTGCTTAAGAAGCTAGATAAGAGCTGGGCGTAGAGGTGAATGCCTGTAATCCCAGCACTCGGGAGGCTGAGGCAGGAGGATGGTTGCGAGTTCAAGATCAGCCTGGGCTACAAAGTGAGCTCAAAGCCAACCTGAACTGCATAGCAAGACCTCATCTCAGAAAGACAAGAAAAAGCTAGATGATAATGCTGTTCGTATGGTTATGTGACTCAGGACCTACGGCATTGTTACATGTGCCATCCTGCTGCTGTTTCTTCTTTCCTCATATAAAGTACATGTATCTATATATGGTAGCTACTATCATTAGTATTTTTTCTGAATGACAAGTGGGATATAATTTCTGAAAGTACTATATAGGACTCCCTTTTCTATATGAACTACGCTTTAAAGCATAAGGTAAAACCACTTGTTGACAGAATGAAATCTGCACACACACATACAAAACACAATTTTGCCCTAATACGTATCTCTTCTGATGTTTCATGGTTGAACTCACTTGCGTGATTTTATTCTGCTTCATTGGTTCTAATGTAGCTCTGTGAGGAGTAGGAAGTTAACATTATTCAACAGGCCACATTTCACACTCTCTAGCTATCTCAGAAACTTAACCTGTTTGATGAAGCTGTTTGCCAGGAATGTAAAGAGATTTAAGAGACCACTTTTTGGATGCAGGTGATCAAACCTCCATAGTAATTACAAAAGCCTTTGAAAAGACAGGCAGATGTCCTGGTTTGGCCATCTGGTCAGAGTAAGTGTTCTCAGGGTTTCTCCGCCTTCACCTTTGCCCTCTCCTTAGATGCAAGAAATGTAAGGAATGCACTGACCTGCAGTCCAGGTCTGCTTTGACTGCAGTGAATAAGATAACTCCTTCATCTGTACACATTCACTCACATGCTCCAGCACTGCCGAAGTAGGGCAGAATGAAGGGGTGGAGGGAAACCAGGTTATAAGCAAATTTATCACCTGCTGAACCAAAATACACAAATGAAATTTCGAGGTGGGTTTTGTATTATTCAAAAGTTCAGGGCTGTTGTATGCTTTTAATCATATTTACCATGTGAAGAAACCAACAAAACAAAGTGGCCGGTTTTAGTAAAGTTCCAACAGGAAAATAAAGAATTCATATCTAACTTGGACAGTGCACAGAGGTTTCTTCTCCTTTTGGTTTCTACAGTGGCTTTGTGAACCATTCTTTCAGAATACAGCTTTATTTTGTGTATTTGGGAATTTAATCAGCTCCTCTGAAATGTGACGTGATCTCCTTAATGACTGCCTGTCCTTTTAGATTCAGTCCTTTAGAATCTTGTAAAACTAGAGACAAATGACTAGAACGACTCTCATCAAATGGCTAGTTGCTTCCTATACCACTCAATTAATTTACCTTTGATAATGATTGATTATTAAATAAATTCACAGCAAGGAAAGTATAGGGTGTTTACAATTTCCAACAAGCCTGTTATAGTTAAATAAGTTGTTTTTTAAATAAACTTAGAAATCACATCTCAGTTTCCTTTATTTATCATCTAACCATCATACTTCAGATTTCTGGGAGCTATATCACAAAGTAAAATGTTGGTCACAGGGAGAACCAGATGGAAAATAATAAATCTATTTTCTTTCTTTTTTTGGTATTGGGAATCAAACTTAATGACCTCATGCTTGCCGGGCAGGTGCTGTGCCACTGAGCTAAACCCTGGGCCCTAAAACTATTTGTTTTTTTTGTTTTTTTTTTTTTTGGTGGGGAGGATAATAAATCAATTCAAATTCATCACCAATATTGGAGAGAAGTGTAAAGTTACAAAGCACATACCCTATCTGAACCTATGTCATATTATTTTCATACTTGAGGACAAGCCTAACTTCTGAATGAAATCTCCATTGGTAGAGAAGATCTTCAGAACAATTGGTAGCCAGCAATCAGGTTCCCCTAAAGTCTTCAGGACTGGTAATCACCTACACTCAGCTTAGTTAGGCCAATAGGTTCTAACTCAAGTGGTTAGAAGAGACCTAAGTACACCAGTTTAAGCCCAAATCTAATGAACTGGAAGACAGCATAATGCACATAGCAGTGACTCTGTTATAGAATGAAAACTTGAGATGATAAAATGAGCATCCAACCCACACTTTAAAAAAATTATCAGTCTTCTGTGTTGTGTTTCATTTGGTTCTATTTATCCATCTAAGCTTGCAAGAGGTACATTTAGAAGCCATTTGTAATCCCACCTATGGGAAACAAAACAATTCTTAGGCCCCAAGATGGGAATGTATTTTGTTTCTAAGCAGTGATATTTTCACCTGAAAATTACATAAATGTACAGATTACAGAGATGTTAGCTCACTGAAAGGAAAAAGGATGATGACATAGATGGTGCTAATTCTGAAATCATGACGATAGCATTTAATGTGAAAAAGTAAAATGGTTATGTTTGTTCTCCACAGAACCCACCTTCTACTTTGGGGACGTGCAGTACTCCGTGGATGAGAGCGCTGGCCACGTGGAGGCGCGGGTGTGGAGAGTGGGTACAGATCTCTCCAGGCCTTCCAGTGTCACGGTGAGATCTCGGAAAACGGACCCTCCCTCTGCAGATGGTGAGCAGTTTCTGACCTCAGCCCTTGTGATTGCTCTACAGTAACTACCATGATACCAGATACTTTACAGCCAAAATCATTAGGGCAGGAAAATTAACTTGTACTCAACCCTTTTGAAGCATGCTGGATGGATTTTTTTTCCCTGAAATTATTACTATGTGATAGATAAATCTAAGATTCCTTTACCATAGTAGGAAAAGACATTTAAGGGCTATAAGTTAGAGGCTAAGTTATAAGGTAAATCTCATAGACTGTGAATTCTAATTCTATGTTTGCATGAATTAGTTCTCCACTCAGGAAATCTAGCATGGTTTAGTAATGTGACTATTTGCAGAATGTTCATGATGACCAACCTCACAGAGATTGAATGACATTTAAGGGTCCTGCAATTATGCATCATTACTTGACTCCCTCCTCCCCTTTTCACATCTCTATAAATACTCCATTTCTATAAACCTTTAGCCACTCTTCTTAGACAAACTGCCATATATACATATATGACATATATGACAGTATATACATATATGACAGTTTGTTATATATAGACATATATGATATATCTATATATCATATATAATAATATATAATCTTATATATTATAGATCTCATATTATATAATATATATTTTATATATCTATGTTATATATAATATAGAATCATATATCATATCTATATATCTTATTCATATGACATATTTGATATACAGATATATGTATGATATACATATACATATCATATATATCCTACATATATATTATCTTATTCTTGGATCTATAACTTCAAAAAGCTGACGGTAAAGCTTATGAAAAGCATAAGATTCAAATTTTCCTTTTCTTTTGTTCTAATTGACTGATAGCAAAACAACTCTCTCATATATGCATGTCTATCCTTTATAATGAATGTGTGATGTGTGCAAACACACCTACACCGTGCATTCATCACACAAGCAATCAGAGATCACAGTTTTAAAAATTACCCTTAGGCCAACACAAGGTCCTGAGTTTGATTTTTGATACAAAAAAAAAAAATTACCCTTAGGTTTTAACTTTTTAATGGAATAGAAATAGCAATGCTTTGCATATAATAAGTGCCCAATAAACTTTTTCCCCAAATTAGAAATTTTTGAGAGAAATTCAAATCAGAGATAGGGAAAGACAGGGAAATATGAGAATAAGAAATAAGACACAGGAAAAGTAAAGCACAGAAAGAGCTGCACGGTGATACAGATATTTTTACAAGTAAATTAAAAACAGATACTACACTCAAACCCTTATGCATTCCAAGCCAAAGGTGATATAAAATGAGAGTCCAGAAGAGCAAAAGGCATGAAAACAAAGAAGGAAGCAGTAAGACTGAACTACCATCCCCTCCTCCCAGTCTTTTTGTATGTAATGATAAAGGATTGAAACATGGTTTTGCTTTAACTCCTTGAAGAGAAGGTATGAACAGTAAACATATATATATTCTATTGTTTGAAAAATAGTAAATGAAAGATGAACTATGTCTTTGAGAATTAAAGCATACTCTCATTGCTCATTGCTGCAGAGAAGTACAGCTACGGTGTGTGGGACACAAGTTATAGCACCTGAAATGTGTTACTTTAATGAATAGACAGTCATGCACCTAAATTAGATGTCCTATAGTACCTCCAGAAATATAGAAATAAGAGCTATAGATATGTAACTAACGTGAACAAAATTAAAAATGTATGTATTTCATGTATCATTTGTGAGCATCTGTGATTGACATGCTGTTTATTTTAGACCTCATTTATATGAGCTTCATTAGAGGAGTCTAATAAGATGGAGGAACTATAGCACAGAAAGCAAAAATAATTAAGCCTATATCCAAGCATTAGACGAAGTACAGAACCTGACCTTTGGTCCACTGCCTCCATAATTATGTAACTGCTAATCTTTTGCCTTTTGTTGAGGAACTTTTCTCTAGTATTATACTGGTCACTTTTTAAAAACTAAGTTATAAATGCATATATTCCTCGTTTAATGACCTACTTGTTTAATGGTTATTTGGAATTACAACCAAGGTATACTGTTGGGACTTCCAACCCACCACTCAGATTTATGATTTGCATTTGAACTTATGATGCAGGAATGTGAGCAGTGTAGCCAAATTGTGGCTTCTTCTACAGCAAAGTACTACTGTAATTTCTGCTGATTGTATTGTACAGTACTATCGTTTCATGATCTGTTACACAATACTGCATGTGAGTTATGCAAGTAACACCAAGTCATCAAGTTGGAGTTTTCTTTGACCATTTCTTTGTTCTGAATATTGTAATGTCCATACAATGTATAATTCCTCATTTAATAATAAATTCATTTAACAATGCACTTACAGGAACAGAACTTCGCTGTTAAAGGAGGAACGTCTGCATACCTATGTAGTTTATTTCTAGTAATTTTTAAAATTTCTCACTAAATAATTCTTTTGCTACTGTCGTAGCTGGAACAGACTATGTGGGAATCAGTCGTAACTTAGATTTCGCACCCGGAGTCAACATGCAGACTGTCCGTGTTACCATTCTGGATGACCTTGGACAGCCAGTGCTGGAAGGAATTGAGAAATTTGAGCTGGTGCTTCGGATGCCTATGAATGCTGCCCTTGGTGAGCCCAGCAAAGCCACAGTGTCCATAAACGACTCTGTCTCTGATCGTGAGTATTTATTGATTTTACATTGATAAGTAAAACGGTAAGCTACTGTTTATATAAATAGCAAAGAGAATGGCAACTTAAATATAAGAATGGCATACCTCTATTCATTTGTCAGTGTTGCCATTAAAAAGAGCTACAGACATGATGGCTTAAACCACAGGAATTTATTGTCCCCAGCTTTTGGCTAGAAGTCAAAACGAAAGTGTTGGCTGAATTGGTTCTTCCTGAGAATGGTCAGGGAAGGATGCTCCAGGCTTCTCTTTCTGGCCAGCCAGTGGTCATCTTGTCGCTATGTCTCTCCATATCCTTTTCCCTGTACCTGTGTCCTGTTTTCCCTTTTACATGAGAACCCCAGTCATATTGGACTAGGGTGTACCATTTGCTTAGGAATGCTTCAAGTTTATCTTTCTTTATGGCACAGGAGTATTGCATTGTGTGTAAATGTGTATGCCACATTTATCCATTCACCTGTTGATGGACATACACACTGTTTCTAATATGTACCTATTATAAGCTGTGCAGCTATAAGCATGAGTATGCCTGTGTCCTTGGAATATGATATCTTTAACTCTTTTGAGAAGATTCCTAGAGGTGGGATTGCTTGTCAAATAGTATTTCTATTTTTAGTTTTTTGAGGAATCTCCACACTGGTTTCTGTAGTGGTTACACCAGTCTATATTCCCACCAACAACATAGAAAAATTTCTTTTTCAATGTAACCTTGCCAACATTTGTTATTATTAGATTTTTTATTTTAAAGAGAATAAAAATAAAAAATAATAAAAATGATACAGAATTTCAGAACAAGATGATAGGAAATTAACAATGGTTGTTATATTGCATACTGTTATCTTCAAAGTAGTTGTTCAGATTACCAGATGTAGGCATGCAAAATTGATCAAACAATTAAAAATTAACTGTTCTTTTCAATCAACCAATGGAAATCAGTAGTACAATTATCTTAGCTACCTTGTGTGTGTATATATATTTCCCTTCTTTCTTTCTTTCTTTATTTTCTTTTCTCCACTCCGTTCCTTCTGAGTTAAGATGGTATCTCAGTGTAGTATTAATTTGCACTTCTCTAATGGCCAATGATGTTGAACATTTTTTTCATGTATGTATTGGCCTTTTTTATTTCTGAGAAGTGTCTATTCATTCCAGTTGACAATATTTTGATTAGGTCTTTTGTTTTGGAGAGTCTAATTTTTTTTAGTTGTTCATGTATTCTAGATGTTAGTCCTCTTTCTGAATAGTTGGTGATTTATTTTTCCATTCTCTATGCTGTCTCTTCACTCTGTGGCTGCTTCTATTGCTGTGTAAAAGCCATTTAACTTGATATCATCCCATGTGTTGATTTTCAGTATTATTTGTTTTGCCATTGAGGTTCTATTCAGAAAGTCCTTTCCTATGCCTATGTCTGCAAGAGTTATACCTGTTTTATCTTCCAGGAGATTAAGTGTTTCTGTTTTAACATTTAGATCTTGGGTTCATTTTGAGTTTAGTTTAGTACATGGTAAGATATATGAGTCTAGATTCAATTTTATGCACTTGGATATCTATTTTTCCCAGCACCATTTATTAAAGAGTCTATATTTCCTCTTTGTTGTTGGCCTCTGTATCGAGGATTAGATGCTGTATGTGCCTGGGATTGCTTCTTCTGTTCTGTTCCACTGATCAGTATTCCTGTTTTGGAGACAGTAGCATTATGTTTTAGTCATCACATCTTTATAATACAGCTTCAAATCTGAGATTGTGATGTCACCTGCTTTACTTTTGTTATTCTGGGTCTCTTCTCATTCCATGTACATTTTAGTTTGTTTTTCTAGCTCTGTGAGAAGTGCTGGAATTTGACTGAGATTACATTAAATCTGTTTATCAGTTTTGGGAGTATAGCTATTTTGATTATATTGGTTACAATATAATCAGGAGCAGGAGCTATCTTTTCATTTCCTTATGTCCTCCTTAATTTCTTCTTTTAAACTGATGTAATTTTCATTGTAGACATCTTTCAATTCCTGATAGGTTGAAACCTATGGGGTTTTTTTCCATGCTATTGTGAATGGCACTGCTATTCTAATTTCTTTTTTAGTGAGTCATTATTAGTGTTTAGGAATTCTATTCATTTTTATATTTATTTTGTATCCTGCAACATTGCCGTATTTGGTTATTAATTCTAGAAGCCTTTTGGTGGAATTTTTTGGGACTTGTAAGTAATGGATCATGTTATCTGCAAGTAATACTTTGACTTCATCCTTTCCGGTACATAACAGTTTTTATTTCTTTCTCTTGCCTGACTGCTCTGGCTAATGTTTTGAGAACTGTGTTGAATAGAAATGGTGATAGTGGACCTCCTTGTCTTGCTCTTGATTTGAGAGGGAAGACTTTTATTATTTCACTACTTAATATGGTATTGTCAGTGGGTTGGTCATAATGACCTTTATCAAATTGAGATAAGGTCCTTCTAAACCTATTTTCTTCAGGGTTTTTATCATAAGGGAATTCTGGATACTCTTCTGACATTGCTTTGGGAATCTAGCCTGTACTAATGAGAACTATATTGATTTGACCCAGCTTAAATGTTACATAATAATTATTCATACAGTTAGTTTTCCCAATATGATCCGCAGTTTTAAACTGTGGTGATAATTATGTGCACAATATTTAGTGTTCCTCATATCAAAAAATTCTGAAAAATTCATGACTAAGCAACTTACGTAGAAAAATCTTCAGATTTTTGTTTTACTACTTTTCAGCATTTTGTTGCATGTCCTCACTTCACAAAATAATCAGAGCAAAATATGAACAAAGAGAATCAAAATCTTAAGGTTAAGTGATTCACTCAAGGTTAAAGCATTAGCAAATGACAGAGTCAAGACTGAGGCCCAATTCTCACTTCCTTTCCCCTGTTCTCTGCGCCAAAAATATCTTCTGAAATGCCATTCTCCTTAAGAAAATTTCTGTTCACTTTGATCCATGAGTTTGTTTGGTTTTGCAGTGCCCAAGATGCAATTCAAAGAAAGGGTATACACTGGTAGTGAAAATGATGGGCAGATAGCTGCAGTGATCCAGAGGAGTGGAGACGTCCAGTACACGTCCTCGGTGAGGTGCTACACACGGCAAGGGTCTGCGCAGGTGATGATGGACTTTGAAGAACGTCCGAACACTGACAGCTCAATCATCACATTCCTCCCTGGTAAGTTTGAGCTTGAAATTTGTTTATGGACTTTGAGGAAGCCAGCTGTTTGTTTAAAAATATTTATGAGGGAAATAAAAGTGCTTTTATCTGAACAAGTTTATAAGATAGCTTTATTTGCACAAATAATAAGGTGAAATAGGTTGCAAAAGTCTGAATGAATGCCATGTTGCTTTCTATACTAACTTATTGATTCCCAGTGATGGGCTATATTGTTTATTCAAAATTTATCCCAGTGGACAAAAGCATGTTGGATATAGATTTCACAATGCTGGAAATGAGAATTAATGTTGAAATGTAATGAAATAAAAGATATCCCACATTTTTAATATGTGTCGAGTACCTTGAATTATTCATTCATGTTAATTCAATTGTTATACTTACTGGAACATATTCTTTTTAAATTTTTATTGGTACATGTTTGTAGTACAATGTGATTACATGCCATGGGGAGTTGGTACACATACATAACATTTCTCATTTCCTTTTCTTAACCCCTCCCCACTTTTCCCTGGAGTTGCTTCCTCAACCTCCCCACATCCTGTTCCACTGATCCACAAGTCTGTTTTTTTTTTCCTGGTGCCATACTGCTTTTTATCACTGTAGCTTTACAGTATAACTTGACGTCGAGAATTTTGATGCCTCCTGTCTTTCCCTGTTGCCCAGAAGAATTACTTTTACTATTCTAAGTCTTTTCTGGCTCCCTGTGAATTTTAGGATTCTTTTCTCTAGTTCTATGAAAAGTGTATGGTATTTTGATTGGGATTACACTAAATGTGTGTAACAGTTTTGGAAGTATGGCCATTTTGACTGTATGGGTTCTGACCATCCAGGAACAGGGGATAACTTTCCATTTTCTGATATCCTCTTTGATCTTCTTTTTCAAAATATTGTAGTTATTATCACAGAGGTCTTTAATTTCCTTGATTAGGTTGATTCCTAGTATTTCATTTTACTTGGTGCTATTGTGAAAAGTTGTTTCCCTAATTTCTTTCTCAGTGGGTTACTATTGAGGTACAGGGATGCTGCTAATTTTTGAGTGTTGATTTTGTATCCTGCTATGCTACTGAATTTGGTTATTAATTCTAGGAATCTTTTGGTGGAGTTTTTGGAATCTTTGTAGATTATATCATCTGTAAATAGTGATAATTTAACGTCTCCCTTCCCTATAAATATCCATTTTATTTTTTCCCTTGCCTGATTGGTCTAGCTAAAGTTTCAAGAAGTATATTGAAAAAGAGTGGGGATAGAAAACATCCTTGTCTTGTTTCTGACTTTAGAGGTCAGCTTCTCTCCCTTTAATATATGATTTCATCAAGTAGTAAGAAAGACCTCGAATACCTATTGTTCAGGGTTTTTATGATGAATGGATGTTAGATTTTGTCAAAGGCTTTTTGTCTATTGAGATGATTGTGTGATTTTTTTTTTTGCTTACTTCTGTTTATGTGGCTATTACATTTATTGATTGGGTTGTGTTAATCCATCTCTGCATATCTGGTATGAAGCCCACACGGTCGTGGTGTATGACACTTTTGATGATTTGTTGCATCGTGTTTGCCAATATTTTGCTGAGGATTTTTGCATTTATGTTCACTAAAGACATCGGCCTAGAATTCCCCCCCCCCACCTTCTCTCGCTCTCTGTCTCTCTCCCTTTCTCTCTCTCTTTCTTGGGTCCTTTTCTGGTTTTAGAATCAAAGTAGTGCTTGCTTCCAGCAATGACTTTGGAAATACTGCCTTTGGAAATACTGCTTCTCTTTTAATTTCACTAAAGAGTTTAAAGAGCATTGACATCAGATGTACTTTAAAGTTCTTGTAGAATTTGGCAGTGAATCTGTCAGGGCCTAGCTTTTCTTAGTTGGTGATCTTTTAAATTTCATCTGAATTTTTCATTTTACTTGAGTACAGGTTCACAAAGTAGTTGCCAATGATCTTCTGGGTTTCAACAGAACCACTGTTATTTTGCCTTTTTTATTTCTAATTGCATGTGTTTGGGTCTTTTCTTTCTCTGTTTTGATAAAATTGGCTAAGGATTTGTCTGTTTTGTTTAACTTTCCAAAGAACCAAATTGATTCATTGCTTCTTTGTATGCTTTTGTAGTCTCAATTTTATTTATTAATGATCTAAGCTTTATAATTTCCTTTTGTGTGGCAGCTCTGGGTTTGGACTGTTCTTGTTTTTCTAGGACCTTGAAGTGCATCGAAAGCTTATTTATTTGAGCTTGTTCTGTTTTTTTGTTGTAGGCATTCACAGTGATAAACTTCATTCTTAGGACTGCTTTCATTGTGTCCCAGAGGTTCTGGTATATTGTGTTGCATTATCATATGATTCTTAGAATTTCTTCCGAGAAATTTCTTCCAAGATTCATTGATTATTCAAGGGGATATTGTTTAATTTCCATGTATAAAACAGAAATGTTGTGATTTCTTTGTCATTGTTTTCTAGTTTCACTCAAGTATGAACTGATAACATGAATGGAATAATTTCAATTCTTTTGCTTTCCTTAAACATGCTTTATGGGCTAGTATGTGGTCTGTTTGGGAAAAAGTCCCATGTGCTGCTGAGAAGAATGTGTATTCTGCTCTTGTTGGGGGAAACATTCTGTAGATATCTATTAAGTCTATTTGTTCAAAGTTTTGGTTCGGCTCTGATATTTCTTTGTTGTCTAGTTGATCTGTTTGTGACACTGAGGTCTTCAGGGCCCCCGTTAAAATTGTATTGGTGTTTATTGGATTTTTCATGTCCAATAGTGTTTGTTTTATGAAATTATGTGCTCCAGTGTTTGGTGCATAAATGTTTATAATTATTATCTCTTCTTGTTGAAATGTTCCCTTATCTAATATGCAGTCACCTTTTTTGTCTTCTGATTAGTTTTGGCTTCAAATCTACTTTGTCTGAAATTAGAACAGCTGTCGGCTTTTTTCTGGGTTCCTACTACATCCCCTGATTTATAATCTGTGAATTTCTTTTGAAATTACATACATTTCTTGTATACTGTATATCATTGGGTTTTGTTTCTGGATCCATTCAACCAATATTTGTCTTCTGAATGGGGAGTTGAGACCATTCACATTAAGTGTTATTGCTGAAAGATATTGATTTATTTTTGTCATTGTATTGTTTTTCCTGTTACTGATTTCCTTATTATTTTTGTAGTTTTTAGCTACTCATTCTGCCATATGTATTCATTCTTTTTGAGATAATGGCATTGTCTCTTTCTAGGATATCCTTGGGAATTTTTCATAATGTTGGTTTGGTGGTCATGAATTTCTTGAGGTATTCCTTGTCATGGAAATACTTTATTTCTCCATCAATTTGAAAGATAGTTTTGCAAAGTACATAAGTCAAGTTTGAAGGTTGTTATGTTTTAGGGCTTGGAACACATCACTCCGAGCCTTCTTGGAATTAAGGTTTGTGTTGAGAAGTGTGCTTTAATTCTAATGGGTTTACCTTTAGTTTTGACTCATCACTTTTCTCTAATGGCTTTTAATATTTTGTCTCTGTGATAGATTTCTGTTACTTTAAAAATTATATGGCATAGGGGCTGGGGATTTAGCTGGAGCTGGGTATTTAGCCTGGGCTAGGGATTTAGCTCAGTGGCACAGCACCCGCCTGGCAAGTGTGAGGTTGTGAGTTCCATTCCTAGTACTGGAAAAAAAAAAATTTAAAAACAAAAAAGAAAATTATATGGCATAAAAAGGTTCTTTTTAGGGTGTGATGATTTGGGGTTCTATGTGCTTCATCACTTATCTGAATGTTTATTTCTTCCTCTATATTTGGGAAATTTTCTGCCATTGTTTTTGGGAACAGGTTTCTTATGCCATTTGTCATGTCTTCTGGTTTTCAGTTATTCCTATTACTCTTAGATTAGTCTTCTTTGCACCATCTAGGAGCTGCTGGATTCATTTTTTCATGTTATCTTGTGGCCTTTAAGGTATCTTTGAGTAATTGATCTTTAAAGGCATCACTGTCTTCTGGCTCCGGAATTCTGTCCTCACACTGGTCGTTTCTGCTGCCCATACTTTCAATATAATCTTTAATCTCCTGGATTTCTGACTGCAACCTTTCGTAGGCTCCAATTCTTTGCTACACTGGTTGTTCGTGTTTTGTACCATTTTGTTTAGTTCATCTAATTTTTATTAGTGTTTTCTGAAAGGTCCTGAATCATTTTTGCTATTACTTCCTCTACCTATTTAGTTGTATTTTCTGTCATTTCACTGAGTACCTCATTAATCTATTTTCTAACATCCTACATTATCTTTTAGAATAATTTAGTGTGTAGTATATACTGTTCTCCTCAATCTCCTCCAACTGGCTTTCGGGTAGTTGGGAGTTTTGCCTTGTCTCTTCATGCTTCAAAAATTATGTGGCCAATATCAAGAAAGTCAGCTACAGTAGTATTATACAATTTATAAGTATTAACAGCTATGACAACCAATTATGTAACCCCCTTTGCCCTTGAGAAGAAATCTAAAATTAAATATTGGATTTCTTAAGCATAAACTTTAATACAATCCAGCTATTGACCCGCAGCTAGTATGCACCAAATGCAACAGCTATATCTCCTCTAATGGTAGACGAGTATTCAATAGTAATGTATAGAGTCAACTATCTAAAGACTAACAAAGCTTTATAAGTATACTATTAAAGATATAATGGACTTAGGGCATGGGAATGCAAGAAGAAAAATTTGAACCTTAAACTATTAAAATATGAGAAGAAGGAGAAAGAATGAAACAAGGGACCCTAATGGGGGTAGAGGGATATTTATCTAACTAAATAGGGATAACAGAAAAAAATGAGAATTAAATGATGAAAAAGAAAGAATATCATGAATAAAAGTATGAGAGAAAAAGTTAAAGGGAAACAAATTTTTAAAAAGAGGGCAGAGATTAACATGAAGCCAGAAAAAAGTAAGAAAAAGAGATAGAACAAAAAAGAAGCAAGGAAAGTGGGCAAGGAGGAATTCCCCTACCCTCTATGAACTAGTAAGAAAAAGAAAGAAGAAAAAATAGTGCACTCATAAGAGAAAAAAGAAGGGAAGAAAAAGGCAAAAAAGAAATTTTGGTTATTTTGGATGCATGACTTTCTTCCAGAATCTATAGTTTAGGAGCAAGATCCAAGTCAAGGCATATCCCTGTTTATGCTGGTAGATAAAGAAGGCAGTCAGACCCCAGATCTATGTGGATACAGACACCAGCAGATAGTAGAACAAGGATGCTAGTGCCAGGGCTTTAAAATCTCAGGCAACTCAGACTGAGCCTGGCCTGAGAGCTGTGCCTATATCTTTTACCCCAAACACATGATGGAGTCTTTTTCCAGCCTGTTATCTGATAGCGAGCTATCTCCAGTGGAGGTCCTTCACCCAGTTACTTCAGAAACATAGCACTGGAAGCCGCTGAGCAGAGCCAAGTGGCTACTCTGGGAAGCAGGTTCAAAGAAGCCGCCCTTCTTCAGAGTGGCGTCGCAGCAAACACCCTCTCCAGGGCAATGGTAGACACTTGTATTAGAGTCACTCACCAGCTGCTGCTTGTAGAAGCACACACTGGTAGCAGAGTCCTGTCCTTTCCTTGCAGATCACAGCTACCACTGACCCGGTCTACTGTGCTGCAGTGTTACACCATAAGAAGTTTCTTGGGCTGGGGATATAGTTCAGGGGTATAAGCACCTGCCTGGTAAGCACAAGGTCCTGAGTTTGATTCCTGATACCAAAAAGAAAAAAAAAAAAACAAATGATTCCGAGAAATTTCTTTCAGAGCAAGTGCAGAGGGTCCTAAAATCCCTCGTGGATCCCAGGGAACAAAGTAGTATCTCTTTGTTTCTTCTCCAAGTTGTTTTCCAGAGTCTGGATATCAAATCTCAGATAGGTTGAGTTGCTGTCACTCCCCACTCTATGATCTTTTTTCCCTTGAAATATGCTCTTTTAAAAACATAAGTGTACAGAAAGATTTCCCTATGTGAATATTTATACAAAGTTATTTACAGTAAGAAAAGGTTGAACACAAATAGTCAACAACTGAAGAATTGTTTATTTGATCACCTATCTCGTGGTATAACTTATGGTCATCAAAAAAGTTTTTAAAAATTATTGAGACAAGAGAAAGTTCAAGCTATAATATTGCTCCCCCTTGTCAGAGGCAGGGACATAATTGTTCTTAGCTCAGTGATTTGTTTAATAAAGCAACAGTTAGTATTACCAGTCAAACTGTAATTATACAGTCAAATTAACAATGACCAACCAGTACAAATCTACTAGATTTGCTTCCTGATCATAGTACTAGGAATTCATAAAGAAAATTGGCCATTTTCTCTTTCCCTTGCTTTCTATGATGAATGACAGAACTTTAAAATAGAAATTACAGGGGCTGGGGATACATCTCAGCATCACAGTACTTGCCTGGCAAGTGCAAGGTCCTGAGTTCAATTCCCCATACCAAAAATTTTTTTAAAAAATAAACTACAAATTATAGAAGTTCCCTATGCAAACAAGAGCCTATTCTTGCATGTATTTAAACATTTATTTAATTATTCAGTAACTAGTTATTAAAGGCTTGTTACAGTGGTCTTTGCACTGATACAGCAAAAGAAAAGCAACATCTTCACTCGTGTGATGCCTTCGTCCTAGTTGTTCCTGTATCCTTCTTAGCCTGTGGGATGTGACTGACCTACTGACATTATTATTTGCTGCAGGTGAGACTGAAAAGCCCTGTATCCTTGAGCTGATGGATGACACATTCTATGAGGAGGTAGAGGAACTCCGCCTAGTACTTGGCACTCCACAAAGCAACTCCCCCTTTGGGGCTGCAGTTGGTGAACAAAATGAAACTCTGATAAGGATCCAAGATGATGCTGACAGTAAGAGGCTATTGCTTATGCTCAGCTGTGAACTGGGAATGGAAATCTATTCTTGTTAAGGTCTTAGGTGGCTCAGAAAATAACAACTCTTTCTGACTAGGGGTTGAGAGCGATTGAGAGGAAAACCATTAAGATGTAGAGGGGACAAGGGGCTGGGGATTTAGCTCAGCGGCAAAGCGCCTGCCTGGCAAGCACAAGGTTGTGAGTTTGGTCCCCAGTACCAGAGAAAAACCAAAAAGCAAAAAAAAAAAGATGTAGAGGGGACAAATCAAACTACTAAAACTGACAAAGTTGGGGGCTGGGAATGTAGCCTAGTGGTAGAGTGCTTGCCTAGCATGCATAAGGCCATGGGTTTTATTTGGGTTTTTTTGTTTGTTTGTTTGTTTGTTTCCGGTACCAGGAATCAAACTCACGACCTTGCACTTACCAGGCAGGTGCTGTACTGCCGAGCTAAACCCCCAGCCCTAGGTCATGGGTTTTATAGCCAGCACCACTAATTTAAAAAAAACTGGGCAACACTTGTCGGTTCCTCCTTCCTCATTCACTGCAAACACTGAGGAAACAGAGAAGTCAGGAGTGTATCCTCCTCTGTGAAAGGAAGCATTAGAAATGAGCAGGGGGGGGGGGGACCTGTTTACCTTACTAAATTTGCCTGTGTGTTCCACAATTGCAGAGGCTGTGATCAAATTTGGAGAAACCAAATTTAGCATCACAGAGCCCAAAGAGCCAGGACAGTCTGTGGTTGTAAAAATTCCAGTGATTCGCCAAGGAGACACTTCTCAAGTTTCCATCGTGAGAGTCCACACAAAGGACGGCTCAGCCACCTCTGGGGAAGACTACCACCCTGTGTCGGAAGGTAGGGGGGTCTCAGGGCTGTCACCGGATGGACCATGCCAACACTGTGTACTGGGTGCTGTACCTTTAAGAAAAAGAGAAACATCCAACGGAAATGTAAATAGATATGCTTTCTTGAACGCTTTCCTTTAGAGAAATAAAGACAATAATGTATTTCTAGGATTTCCCTTTTTGACTCATTGGGCTTCCTTTATGACTCTCTTGTGTTAGGGGCTTATGGAAACTTTGGATAGACATGCTAGAAGACTTTCTGTTTTGAGTGTACTTTAAACCTTTGGCTGGTTTTATTGTCATCTCTTGAATGGACATTACCTGATAATTTTCCTGTAGGTTTATGTTACACTGAAAATGTGCATGATAACTGTGATGAGAATTTATTGTAAGTTAGAGAACACTTGTGATCTAAACCTTTTGTTTGTTTGTTTGTTTGCTTGAAGCTTGGAAAGCCTTTATCTTGTGGACAGGAGGGAGTGGAAAGTCATATAACTCTCAGACCTTTAACATTTCTTCTTAACAGTGACAAAGGATGCTGTCGGATTCAGAAAAAAGCAGTTGAGCTATGTAATTCTATTTTAAATTTATAAATGAGATCTAGCATGGAGTCAATTAATGCTTTACCTCTCAACCTCAAATACTGGGACGTCTCAGCTGACTTGTTTTATTAGTAAACATTTGCAGCAAGTAATGATTGCATCCACCATGAGGAGCTGGTATACGTACATAATGCATCTTAATTATTTTTATTTGCCTTCCTCTGGCTCCCCTCCTTCCTAATGCTATAAAGTTTGGGGCCAATTAAGGACAGTAAGAGTGTGGTAAAGCCAGCTGGGGTGGCACATGCACTCTGGGAGGATGGGGCAAGAGAATTGCAAGCTAGACCGCAGCCTGGGCAACTTAAAACCCTGTCTCAAAGGAAAAAGAAAATAAAAAATGAAAAGGACTGAGAACATATCTCTCTGTGAATTTCTCAGTTCAATCCTCAGTACTGCAAGACCATGAGTTCTCTAAGACTCATGTAGGAGCCTCGTAAGGATGGTTTTCATATCTCTTCTGCATATTTCTATGAGTAATTAGCACGAATAGATTCTTCTCTCTCTTCCTCTCCCTGCTCATCTCTGAATTCTTTTCTTCTTTTTTTTATTTTTGCGGTACCGGGGATCGAACTCACCACCTTGCACTTGCCAGGCAGGCGCATATGCCACTGAGCTATATCCCCAGCCCTTGAATTATTTTCTGACAGATAAACATAAACTGATATCAAAAATAAAGTTTATGAACTATTTGGTCTTCTACTTATCCTTAGTTCTTGACAACCATAGTACTGCAGGCATTCATCTTGATGTTCTAACCCACCAGCAAATTTAAAAGTGACTAGTAGATGTTACTGAATCAGTAATGAATTTAGGTAATAGAAGAAATAACATCTTCTACAAAGACAATATTTTTTTTCCTACATATATGGTAAAAATTTGATACACTATAGCTTCAAATTTACCCTCAGATTATTCTGAGGTGATAAATCACATGTAATCCAAAAGAAGAAAAAGGAAAAGAGATTAGCTACTAAAATGCAAGGTCTAAAATCAGTCCTTTCTAAAATGAACAGATTTTACATGAAGGAAAACCCTTCCAAATATTGGAAATATGACCGTTAGCAAAAATTGTTTTTCTTAGAAATAAAATGATTATTTTTGCTAAAACACAAAACAAAATTATTTCTATGTAGTGAAATGATAAAGAAAGTCAGATAAAAGTGACATAATGCTCCCAGGCATGGTGACATACACCCATAATCCCAAGTGCTGGAGAGGCTGAGGCAAGGAATTGCAAGTTGGAAGGCAGCCTGAACAATTTAGAGAGCCTGTCTCAAAATAAAAAATAAAAAGGACTGTAGGTAGAGTACCCCTTGGTTCAATCCCCAGTACTGGAGGTAAAGAAAAGTTAAATAATACTAAGTCATTGTGTCTTTTATCCCATTGGTGTGAACCTTATGTTTATAATAAAAACTTATGAAATTTTATTTTGATAAAACATGCTATAGTTTTTCCTTTTATAGCCTAAACTGTAGGCTATTGAGGTCATTGCTCTGCAAATAAGAAAAAATAAATATAAAAGTTGAAAAAATTGGTGGTGAAAAGTAAAGTGACAGATGAAGACAAATGTGATTTTAAAACTTGACTATCACCTACCAAATATGCAATCAGAAGGAAATCATTTCAATGCTGAAATTATTTTTGCTTGCTTAGACCATTGGTTTGGAGAACCCAGGGTTATAAAAACTTGAATGCTTACAAAGTTAAGACAAGCAACGAAAATGAGTGAAGAGAGCGAAATGCAAAGGAAAAATGGAGTGATTGGAATATTCTTGAAACAGAAATTTTCTCCTATGTTGAGAAAAGCCTGGACTACCATAGCCACCTATTATCATGCAGGAGGGCACAAAAGAACTCAAACATCTCTTTTTCTTTTTGTTTTTGTTTTTTGGTACCTAGAGGATCAAACTCAGGACCCTGTGCTTGCCAGGCAGGTGCTTATGCCTCTGAGCTATATTGCTGGCTCTCAAACATCTCATTCTTTGGTGAAATCCCCAGATTTTTAAGTGATGGAAGCTAGCTTTTAAATTTCACATCACATAGAACAAACCAAATTATCTGCAACATCACATTGCATATCTCAAATAAACATAATAAAATGCTAAACTATAAAGCATAATTATGCAATGTAACTTTAAATTATGAAATGATTAAAATAATTATAAATAAAATTATAAAATGTAATTTTGAAAAATAAAATCAAAAACAAGGTAGTAGGTGAGAAACTGTTAGTTTCATCCACTGGATCAAGAACCCTGAGTTCTGTCAGGGCTGGAGAAGTCTAGGACTGACAAATACAAAGAACATGCCATGGCTCAGGGGGATCTAATTTTAAAGATGTCTAGGTTACTAGCTCCCTTTTAAAGAAATGCAATTGATAATTTAAAAATTGAAATAGAAAAAAATACACTAGGAATGCATTTCTTTTCCTGCTAGACTCAAAGAATTTATAATTGATTAAACCACAATTATATCAGAAAGCAACATTTATTATCTCCTCTGTTTGGAATGACTGTGATTTATATTTTTTGTATTTTTCCTCTGATCCTGATTCTCAAAAGGCACAGTAAAATCAACAAAGTAATTTATTCAAGTTTGGTAGTATGGGCAGTTGCTTATTCAGGGTTTTAATAGAATCCAATGATTTTCAACATCTTGAAATTTTTAAAATTAATGCTTAAAAAATTCTGATAAATGGATATAATCTGATGACAGTGAAGCAATTCTTTTAGTGAAAAGGAACAGGGTGAGGGAGAAACCACTAATATTTATCTATAATAACTTTTCTAAATTTTCAAGAACAACAACAGAAAGAAATGTTTTTGAAATATAATTTGATATTGCATCTAAAAACAGTTTTATATCCAGCTTATCTGCACGTATATCATAAATACCATTCACAAATATATCTTCAGTCCCATTCATATGGCATGGATCCCATTGGTTTAGAAATTCTGGGGAACAAGAGCTGAGTTTGATTGTCCTCAATATGAGAACTGATGATTGTTCTCTAACTCGGCAGTTTTTCAAACTGTGAGGCAGTGAATCAATTTAGCGACTTATGATTAGGGTTTCCCTTTGGACAGCGTAGAAAACAAAAAAGGAAAAGAAGCGATTACAGCACAGCATGGATAGTAGGAATTAGTGATGTTTGTGAAACCTTTGCTTCTCTTTTGCACACACATGCACATACATGCACATATACTGGGCCGCAATGTAAGATGTATTTTTCACTGTAGACCACAGTCAAAGAACTTGCCTGCATTTCTAACATTCATATGCAAAAGATTTAAATTCTTGATTTGTGCATTTGTAGAAATTGAGTTTAAGGAAGGAGAAACTCGGCACATTGTTGAAATTGAAATAATCTTCGATGGGATAAGAGAGATGCGAGAAGCCTTCACCGTTCACCTAAAACCTGATGAAAACATGATAGCAGAGACACAGGTAAGTGCTGAGATGTGTTAATAAACTGGTGACCAGTATTTTATCAGAGCAGATACATGTAAGAAACCACATACGGTAGGTACAATGAAGACGTGAGACTCTGTCCAAGCTTTATATAAGGGTGTTCATAATCCCTTGTCACCACTGAAATAAATTTTGCCCTGATTAGATTGTAAGTGGGAAATTCTTCTCTTTCTTTGACAAGTGCTGTTCATAACCCACAGTAGCTCACTCCTTCCCTCCTCCTTTCCCTCAGTCGGTAATGACGGAACTTGGGTTTGAACTCCAGATACAAAGCATCATCTCAGCACACAGAAGACATATTAATCCAGCCCTACAACTCATTAAAACTTACTTTTTCACCCAAAAAATAGTTTAACAACTTTCAAAAGTCCACTTGTTCCTCCTCATTTGATTAAACTGTGATGCCCAAAGGCTTATACCTAAACTACAGTGGTCCTAGAACTTGTTTTTATGTTCAATTCATGTGTGTTATATCAGCAACAGTTTTTCCTCAGGATAGATGTAATTTCCACAGAGTTTTGGCTTTTACACTGAAAAGAATTCTTTAAGTTTTTAGCTAATCTGAGGAACAGGTCAATTTAATAATATCTATACTTATTTATTGTATCATTTTTATTATTTGTGATTATTATTATTATTATTACTTAAGAAAAAACATTCCTCTACTTTGACCTCATCTTAATAATTTTTACTCCACTCCACCAACACAGTTTTATCTACTGTCACTGTAACTGGAGAAAAAATCATAGACCCCAATTACCTTTTGGGCCACTGGTCAACCTTTGAATTAGCTGCCCCAGGCTCAGAAGCCCTCCCCTGGAACCATGAGATGTGAGCAAGTTGTCAGCATCACCTGTTACTCTGCAGGGAGAGATGGGACAATTTTTATCACAGATTCCATGGGCATCATGAATATTGTCCAGCACGAAGGAAATGCCAGAAGTCTAGCATTTAACTAATCAGTGACGATTATCTTTTTCTTTCAGATGACCAAAGCCATTGTGTATATAGAAGAAATAAACAGCATGGCAGATGTCACTTTTCCTTCTGTTCCTCAAATTATGTCCTTGCTGCTGTATGATGACACTTCCAAAGCTAAGGAGGGCACCGGACCTGTGTCTGGCTACCCTGTCATCTGCATTACGGTGAGTAGGAAATTAAAAAGATTGAGAGAAATTGCAAGGCCATGATGTAAAATAATTGTAAACCTCAATCCTGAAGAAATCGTAAAGAAGCAAATGGGAAAATTCTACAAGGTTTATAGTTTAAACTTTAAAAAAGAACAGACAACATTAATTAAATGAGCTCCCACATTTGTCCTTCCGCTAACAAAGGAAGGTACTGGAAGAAAAGTAGGAGTCCATTTGTTAATTAATGTGTACACTGAGTATGACCTAACAGACTGTCACTACTAGAAAAATAAATAAGGCACGAACTAAGTAAGGTGCTCCAAAACTTTAAAAATAAGAAACAGAAAAGCACAGCACTTTGTAGCTAAAAAAAAAAAAAAAAAAAAAAGCAAGATGTGATCATTATGGTAAGAATGTTACAAATTAAGAACTAGAGCTGAGACACTATGTATGAGGGATACTTAAAAAGGCCAGGTAGAATTTTGATAGTTTAACAGTAAGCTAAGGGAAGATCATTCCAAAAATAAGTTATCACAAAAACAGCAATTAAAGAGGAAAGAGCAGAAGAAATATGATTGTCATTACTTTTATACTTGCCCTCTCTTGCTCTAAATTATAAGCTCTTACTAGCAAAAGCTGTGACTTACCAATTTTTATATTACAATAGCCCTAGTGTAGCAACCTAGCTATAATAATAGGCAATAAATACTTAGTGAATTAACCAGGCATAAATAATAATTTGGTACCAAATTATATAAATCCCTCAACACTGCATTGAGGAGCTTGAGCTTCACTTGTTGGATGGCAGGGAGCTCTTACACAGAAGAATGGCATGATTAGAAGGTTATGTCAAAGGGTTAGTGGTGCAGTCGTGTTTCACTTGGCTGGAGAAAAAAAGGACATGAGTTGGCCCAGAAGATGGTGGTGGGAATGGATAGGAAAAGACCAACTATAAAAAACTGCAAGAAAGCTACAGTCAAGTTCGCTCACCCACTAGACATGGAAAGAAGGGAAGAAACCACTACTGATAGCTAATTAGTGCTCCTGCTGGCCCTGGCACTGGGACCAATCCCCAAAGAGAGGTGGGCTCTAACACCCTTGTTAGGGATGGAGAAGGGGAGAAGAGGGTCATGGGGGAAAGAGGAGTCAAGATAATTCAGCAACTCCGGGGGTTCAAGACACAAGGCTGTGGTTAACGATTTTGCATATATTAAGTGAGAGGCTGTTTGAAATTCAAGCTTAGAGTTCATAAAAGCTCATCGATGGGATTTGAAGTTTGGACACTTCATGAAAATACTAAGATAGCAAGATCTTGAGAGGAACCACATCCACACTGTTCTACAGAGCGTTCCTAACATTGTTATTTGTTTCGCATAGGCATGCAACCCCAAATACTCAGACTACGACAAAACAGGCTCCATCTGTGCAAGTGAGAACATCAATGACACTCTGACCCACTACCGATGGCTGATCAGTGCTCCCGCAGGCCCCGATGGTGTCACCAGCCCCATGAGGGAGGTGGACTTCGACACATTTTTTACATCCTCCAAGATGATCACCTTAGACTCCATATACTTTCAACCTGGCTCCAGGGTGCAGTGCGCGGCCCGTGCTGTAAACACCGACGGCAACGAAGGCCTGGAGCTCATGAGCCCCATCATGACCATCGGCAGAGAGGAAGGTAAAGGCATTGCCTGAGGCTCCCCGAGATACAGAGAACTGTGACCGATGTCTAACTTCAGGTTACTGTTTCAAATATACCATGAGCCCCACAGTGTCCTGCAAAGTAAAAGTCTACTTTTACAGAATACTCATTAGAAAAAAGTTACTCATTCTATAGTTTGGTAGCACCTACTATGCGCCAGGCTAAGCACTTTATGCTAGCAACATGAAAAGTAAGGCCAGAACCCCATCCCCAAGGAGTCCTGAGGAAAGATGATGACAGACGCATATCTGAGTCTGGATAAGACACTGAAAGGTGACACGGGCAGCAATTAGTTCTGCCCTGGGTAGGTCAGGAAAACTCATCACAGAGGTGATGCTTGGGTGGAATCTGGAAAACATGAACAGCGACTCTTGGAAGCATGAAAGAACACAGAGTGTACTGAGAGTGACAGAGTCATGGGGAGCTTGTGAGAGGAAGAGGAGGAAGGATCAGGAGACGAAGAAGGGTAGAAAGCCTGTGCTTCTGGTTTGAAAAAACGGTGCCTGTGCCATGCAAGGAGCACGCTGGTTATTGCACGGGCAGAAGTTTGCAAGGGTAGGAAGGGAAGGGCAGTCCAGGTAGAATGGTATGTGCACCGCTCTTACCTTGTAACTAACTGCAAGGGAGGCTACAGCCAAGGATGAACTGGGGGTGGGGTGCAGGATATAGGGATCTGCAGGTTAGACCTAGAGCCTCATCAAGATTGTGAGGCAAATGTTCTATCCTGAGCACATCTGCGGCCCAAAATTGGGCTCTTTCAAATGATTATATGTATGTTTTTATTTCTAGAATCCCTCTTTGCAAATAGCATTCAGAAGTACATTTAGGATTTGAGATGTATTCCTAAAATGCTAAGAAGCGGCTAGAATGTGAGCTGCAATGACCCCCCACTGCCATGGTCTTTGGCTTCCTTATGATACACTTTCTAAACCACATCTTAGTCCACAGGGGATTTTAAAGTATGTAAGACAGTAATAGCACCAATTATTAAATATTCTTCAGGTGTCAGGTGTCATCCGTTACCTTCTTTAGCTTAAATGTGTCCATTTTCTTTGAGGTCTCTGTCAGCCCCGCATGCCTGGGGTAGTGGGTGCCGAGCCATTCTCAGCTAAATTACGCTACACAGGCCCACAGGACCCGGATCACCCAAATCTCATCAAGCTCACCGTCACCATGCCACACATAGATGGTAAGTGATGGGGTGAAGCAAGTCCATGGAGGAGTACTGGACTCCTAAATTACAAAGCTCAAGTAAGTGTTCGGTTTACAGTTTGAACATCAAGTCTCTGTACTGCTTTCAGCTCTTTCTGCCCTCTTTCTATCCAGTTGTGAAAAGTCTGACCACACAGGCATTGTTTAAAATTAAGTAAATCTAGCCTATGTCCAGACTCGAGACAAACCTTGGTGAATGTGCTTCCCTGTAGGCATGCTTCCGGTCATCTCCACCAGGGAGCTCTCCAACTTTGAGCTGACCCTTAGCCCTGATGGCACAAGGGTGGGGAACCACAAGTGCTCCAACCTTCTGGATTACACGGAAGTGAAGACTCACCATGGCTTCTTGACGGATGCTACAAAAAATCCAGAAGTCATTGGAGAGACCTATCCTTACCAGTACAGTGCGCCTCTCAGAGGGTCCAGCACCTTACGCTTCTACCGGAACCTGAACCTGGAGGCCTGTCTGTGGGAGTTTGTCAGCTACTATGACATGTCAGAGCTCCTCACGGACTGTGGAGGCACCATTGGGACTGACGGACAGGTACGGATTTTTAGCTTCTCAGCTGCAGTCACTGGATAAACTGAGTGCTTTGTTCTATAGATAGGTCTTTTAGTACATCTCAACTCAGATCTTAGGGACGTAGATCATTAATCAGAAGAGGGACCAGACAATTGACATGGATGTTAGATAACCCCTGTCAATGTCTGGATAACCCCTGTCAATGTCTGGAACAATGTCTGGAACAAAATATATATGTTTTAAATAATGGATCAGGCAGCATTCACTTTGTATCAGAAGTACAGTGCATCATCATTGGCTGAGACTCTGAATCTACTCTGGCATCTAAAGATCCAAATACTTATTATCTCCAAAGTACACATTATTATATTCTGTTTACACGCTTAGGTACCAGTGATACTGTACCAAACCTAAAATGAGGATGGACAACATGTCACGGGGATTATCATAGAGAATCAAAGTATGTTGGGTATAGTTTAAAGTGGTAATGAGTATTTGAACACAAGCAATGATCTGTCTTATTTGGACTGAACAAAAAGTTATAAAAGTAGGTTTATATATTAAAGTGGTGAGTGGTATGCAGAATATATCATATCATTCAAAATTTAGCCAAGGAGAGACTAAACTCCTAGAGGAATTGACAGTTCCTAATTTGCTTTAGGCTATATTCTTAAGGTGTTAAAAAATAAAGCAAGTACAGTAGCAACAAGGAAGATAGATGGTAGCTCACTCTCAGGTTAATCCCACAGCAAAGCTGTGGAACTTGACAAGTTCAGCATGTGCTGATGTTGAATGAACAGGTATATATCTTGGCTAAGAACCCAGAAGGCATGAAGCACCTTAATAGCCTCCTCTAAAAGCAGCGATAGTAAGTAACTTTCATGAATTAGTGGAAATATTCCTCAAATAAAATATCAACTGTGAAGACAGCATGACATGGCAGAAAGGGCCCAGATACTAAAATCAAGCAAACCAGACTCCGATTTGGTTCTGAAACTCTCTACTGTGTGTGCTCAGGCACATTAGTTAAACCTCCATAAAAGGCAGCTCTTCAGGCCCTTCTGTCCCAGTCTGTCCTTGCCATCTTAGTTCCAGGCAATCACTGTGCAGACAGCTTTTATTAACCTCTAATTGCTTTTGTCAGGAGCAAAAAAGCAAGCGCAAGGTCATGAGTTCAATTCCTGGTACCGGAAGAAAAACAAAAAACAAAACAAAACAGGAGCAAAAAAAAAAAAGAACTGAGTTTTTCTTTATGTGTTAAAAGCTACCAAGTTCCTGCATTTTATGTGTGATTGAAAATCTGTCTTGACACGTTCCAACAGTGTGTTCTGCTGTCCCGGACTTCCCAGTGCCAATAATTTAATGTATGGGAAAGGGCTGTCAAGGTGAAGGTATCAGCTGAAAATTCCAGGATAGTTTTCTTTTAAGAGCATTGAAGGTCTGAGCACTTTGCCTGTAGCTATATTTGGCTGATACCAATAAATGCATCAGCTATCTTAATCATTCATTGCAGAAAGAGTCAATAAAACTACTTAGAAGGAAACATTTGGAACCATAGGCACAAAGATTTCCTGAGCAGGACCCCAATAGCAGAGAAAATAATATCAAGAATCAACAAATGGATTACATCAAATTAAAAATTTTCTGCACGGCAAAGGAAGCAATTTGAAGAGAAAACACAGAATGGGAGAAAATCTTTGCTAGCTACTCCTTTGGTAGAGGGTTAACATCTAAATGATATAAAGAACTCAAGAAATTAATTCAAAGAAATATAATGCAATCAGTAAAAAGGCAAATGAATTGAGTAGACACTTCTCAAAAGAAGTACAAATGGCCAATAAGTATATGAAAAAGAAGTTCAACATTATAAACTATTAAGAAATGCAAATCAGGGGCTGGGGATTTAGCTCAGCGGCAAAAGTGCCTGCCTGGCAAGCGCAAGGTCGTGAGTTCGGTTCCCGGTACCGGAGAAAAAACCAAAAAAAAAAAAGAAATGCAAATCAAAACAACACTGAGATTCCATCTCACCCTGGTCAGAATGGCTATCATCAAGAATACAAAAAAAAAAAAAACCAAAGACATAGCAAGGGTGTGAGATAAAGAAACCTCCTACCCTGTCCTAGGGCATATAAACTAGTAAACCACTATGGAAAGCACTAAGAATGTTCCTCAAAAACTAAAAATAGAAATACCAGCTGCATCACCAATAAAAGTCAGAAGAGAAAAGAGATGAAAACCTTTTTATACCCATGACAGCAAGGATGGTTTTAAAAATAGTCCTAGACTGTTGGTTTACCTAAATCTCTGGAATAACTGCTACCACAGAACTGGTCCCTAGGGCCCTCTATATTACAGTCACTATGGTAAACTGCTCCTTCATATGTAAATGTTTCCTCCAAGGGGACAGACCATTAAAAGGTCTACTTTTGCCCCAGAGGCTGTTCGGCCACACATAGGAGTGCAAAAAGACTAGGTGATGTTTCTTTGGAGTCTGGGTTTCAAAGGAGTCCTAGCTTTTAAGTATGCATATCAAGAGCTGGGGCAGGGGTCAAGTTTCATACTGAGCTTCCCATTTTGAAAAACAGTAAGGGAAGAGAAGGTGGTCCTGTCTATCCCCATTTGTTCTGTCTTTTTACCTAAGATGTCCCTTAGACTTGACCTGTCCAGTGCTTGCAGCAGTGACCTGAAGGTGCTTAAAGAAGTGAGACCAGAACCAGGCTGTCCTATCCCACCAGAGCCTGGGTCCCCTGCCTCAGGATCCTGTGGCACCTTGGCATATATTTGCCATAGGTCTTCCCTTTCTTAGCCCTCAGTTAAGGCATCTCTGCATGTAGAACTCAGTGGCTGGCCTGGTGATACACTCTGAAGAGAAATCATAACCAGAGAGAGGCAGTCTCTTGGAGGCCAGGGCTGTGGCTGTCTGCTCCCTTAGTGTCCATTCTGCCTAAAGCTGGCATCAGTCCATGACCTCTGAAAACTACCTACTGGTTCACTAACGTAATCACCTGTGCTGTGTCCGCCTCTATAGTCAGTCTACCACCCGAGCAGTGGAGAAGGGGTAGATGAGTGCCTAATCCAACAGTAACTCTTTATGCAAGGCACAAAACTTCATCTACTTGGCTTATCACTGTTTTCCAAACCCTTGCAAACCCAAGGGCATAAACAGAACTGATATTAAAAGCCTTTTCAGAGTGGGTCTTTTTAGTCTTTAGTAAAGCATACTTCCAAAACATAAGAGAAAAGAAAAAAAAAAAAAAAACCAGCAGTAGAAAATTTGGAGTGAAGAGTCCTTAGCAGTGAAAGAGGTTTGTGCTTATCATGCTTGTAGTGAGTTATTAGAGTAATTTACTCAAGAGGTGTCATTCTTGTTGCTCTCAAAGACCAGCAAGAACAGCAAGAGCTAAAATTGTTCCCTCACCAGAAGAGGATCAAACCAGAAAGGAAAATGAGATAGAGCTTAGGCTCGACATTCCCTTCTTCAGTGGTGAAGGAGGACCATGGGAGACAGCCCCAGTGAAAGGATCTCAAATCCTTTCAGATTTTAGAGCAGCAGCCACACTCACCATCTGTAAGTGGCTGAGGAAGACCTGCATTTTGCATATGGCAGGCTGTTCCCCACATCTAGCCTACCACTGGGGAAATGGTAGAAGAGACATCAGGCTATAAGGCTATCCAGTAAAAAAAGAAAAGCATGAATCTCTAACTTATAAATGGAAACACAGTTCAACAAGAATATAGTATAAAAAAAAGACAGAAAGCTCCCATTTGGGATTTACCTACTATTAATCTCAAATCTCGGTGGAACCTCCAAAGATGTTATCATAGTCTCTATACAAAACAAACTCATGGTTCCACACACAATGAAAAATGAAGTCATATGGATGAAGTTGTGAGAGTTTTAGTGGAAATAAGCGAAAGCTCATGATAGGTATCTATCATGAGGGGATTCTGAGCGGAAATCCAAATGGTGCATCACTGTCTTGATCTGATACACATAAGGAGAGAACAGGAAGGAGCTCGAGTTCAAAAGAGTTCAAAAAGAAGACCAATTATCTTGCATTTGTAAGGTTTTCTTGAGTCCAAAGGCACAGAGGAGATGTTAAAGCTCTTAACTAATTTAGCACATCCTGGATAATTGCAGGAAGGAAGATTCCTTATCTCTCTATTTTTATCCCAGCATTTTATTCTTTTCCTTGAGTTTCTCTTTGCATTTCTAAGCTTAGTTTAGCTGCCTGAATTAGCTTTTAACCTGGGTGCACTATTTTATTTTCTTTTTTCCAAGCTTATTGTTAGGCCTCTCTGGCTGCCTACTCATAATAACTATATTACTGCAGTGGTACATGCATACCCATGTTTATTACAATACAATTCACAATAATTAAGCAATGAAAATAGCCTAGATGCCCTACAACAGATGAATGGACCAAAAACGGATATATGCACACAACTGAATATTATTCATCCATAAAGAAGATCAAAACCATGTCATCTGCAGGAAAACCAATGGAACTAGAGACCATATGTTAAGCAAAATAAGCCAGACTCAGAAAGTTAAATGTAGCATGTTTTCTCTCATATGAATGATCTAAAAAATAAACAAATAAAGGGCAGATGACCCTGCCACCAGGCAGGGTCTGAGGAGGTTCATGAAGCTGAAATAAGGAGTCTAACCCACCCTACCCATAGAATAAGTTCACAGCTTCACTGACTCTTGTTGCAGGAGCAGAATTTTCCAGTTCATGTCAATTGAAAAGTTTAGAAAGGGTTCATTAGGAAGAAATTTCAGTGTATACTCAAAGAATTAGAGCGTAGGCCCTTGAGAGAGAGGGAGAGGGTGAGGGGTAGGGACAGGTAGAGGGAGAGGAAGAGGTACTATAGTTTAGAACTGGGGATAGTTATGTGTTTTGGGTGGCGGAAATCTGCGGAGTTTGTCAATCTATAGTCTGGGTCCTGGTGGATGGGGAGCATGGCCCACCCACAGAAATATAATGGTCCATTTTTAGGAGAAAGCCATTTTATAG